GTGTTCCACATTTCGCGCGTCACCTGTTGGAAGGACGCTAAGGGCGAGCACGTATCACCGCAACACAGTGACGTCGCCGTGACCAGGTGGCAGTGGACTGCGTAGCGCCAGTCAGTGGGAATGCGAACACAGAAACACTGAATTTCATTAAATTCATTACAGTAGACGTCATCGGTCGGTGTGAAGCGAAGATGCAATTAGATGGATTTCGAAGTAATCAGAAACCAGTCGAATAAATTCGATGGATTTCAGAATCAACGTTGACCGACAAGTTACTGAACAAAAATACCTCCAAATCGGAGCACCAGTTCAGAGTGCCAGATAAAATGAGAGAGGGTGAACATGTAGTTCAAAATTTGAAAGTATGATTGTTCAAATGAAGTAACTAAGAAACATTATTTTCCAACATTCACACAAAATATCCAATAGCCGCTGCAATGCCGGTCTTAATCTTTATTGATTGGGTCACTGTGACACCCTTCTTTTTATGAAATTAATGGTGGATGCACTGATTTCCATTTTCCAAGAGGACTTCATTTAAAGGCAAATTCAAAAGCAGCTTTGTGGCAAGCGCAGTGTGCAGTCTCCTATTTCCTTTCCACATATGGGGCTTCATTTATCAACCACAGAAGGATGAAAACAACTGATCCCAACAGAGTCTCGAACCAGAGACCTCTCGGTGACGCATGACTGAGAAATGCCGTTTTACGAAAATTCATAAAAAATAAAAAATGGATAAACAAATAATCAATAAATTAGGAGCGGGGACGATATAGCACGAATAAAACAGTAAATCAAAAGCGAATGAATTACTTAACGTTGAGCTCTGCCAAGTTCGGAATCAACAGAGGTGCATGATCATTTGAGGTTAGGACGCTTCGGTCATAAAAACAACCTTCACTCCAGTGTGATGAAACTCTCCTTATCCGAGTAATTCAAGGAGGCTCTGCAGAAATATGTTTAAAGGCTTTGACAGATGGTAAACATTCATTTCATTTAGAATATAAGCTATGGCTCTAAACGATGTTTACTTTGAACAAGTACATCAACAGTTCACCAACATATGTTCTTACGCCGGAGCATGTCAGATAAAGCATAATTCGACCAGATTTCATGGCGCCAGGCTGCGGCATGTTTAAATGATCCCCTAGGCAACTAAAGCAAGAAGACGGTGCAAACTCCGTGAAATCTGGTCTTGGAGGAGTTGTGCCCTGTCTAATATACTTTGACGCTTATACGGTTACATTGAAATATCGTTCATAATAAGCACGAGGTGGCTTTAGCGAACAAAATGATGAGTGATACATTTGGCAGCTCATGTACTCAAATACAGTGAAGGCGGTACCTTCTTAAATAGCT